CACTAATGACAACAGTGACTTTATCCTCTTACTTTTCTTGTCAAAGTCGAAATTTTGATACTGGCATTGGGAAAAAAAATCAGATGAAGTGTTTTAACTTGTAATTCTTTTCCAGTGTATGAAAAAAATCTCCCTTATAACAAAGTCAGTAAAATGGCCTTGGGGCTGAAATGACTTTTTTTTTCTCGAGAGAGGTTGGTGGAACCTACTGTGTGCTCCTGGCTGCCACAGCCTGTGGAAGACCATAGAGCCCTAGCCACCTCCAAACTCTCTGAAGCTGTCTCAGCTCAGGGCTCTGCCTAACAGCGTCACTATCTGAAGAACCCCTAATATTATCTTAAACCTGGCTTCCGTTGAAAGACTTGCAGGATTAATCTCATGAGTAACATCTGTTTCCCTAAATCACTATAAAAAATCCAAGCATCCCAAATAATCTGTCATCACAGAGATGTATATCTCTGTTCTGCTCTGTAATCCCACCCCTTCTTCCATTCCCGTGTCCTCTGCAACTTCACAGGGCGCAGCAGCCAACTTGCTGCCAGACGATCCACTGCTCCTTCTCAGTAAACTTACTTTTCCTCTTTTTGAGATATTTACTTCATATACTCTTTTATTCTCAAACATCTCTCATATTTCACAGAAAAAATAGATGAAATCAGATAAGAAATTGCCTCATTTTCTCACCACCTGATCCACTCACTCAAACCTACCTGCCTCTGTATCTATGTATCGCCCTTCACTCTTGGTAAAGTGGATTAAGGGTCTCCAAATCAATCTAATGGCAACCCCCCTGGTGCCCTGAATCTCAAGAACATTTTTCTTTCTCAAGAACATTCTTTTTCAATTACCCATTTCCTCTTCTATATTGACTATTTCTCTCTACCAGACCATTCCAGCAAGTAAGCATGCTTTCACGGCATCTGTTTCCTTCTTCCCTTCAGAGAAAAACTCCATGAGAGAAAATTTTATAATTGTCTGTACAGTTTTACATATTATTCTGAACTAAACATACTTCAGTCGTGACTATCAGGCCACTAAGATGATTTTTACTAAGTTCAAATGCTAGCAATAATACAAGCTAACACAGAGTGACTACTATGAGACAGGAAGTGTTCTAATTACTTTATACATAAATCATTTAATTCCCAAACCAGCCCTATGAAGATTGTGCTATTAACATCCTTCTTTAAGACATGAAAAAATGCTACTCAGAGGTATTAGGTAACTTTCCCAGTGTCACACAACTGCCAGGGAGGAGCTTGGATTTGAACAAACTACCCTGGTTTTGGAGTCTATGCTCTTTTTTAAAAAAATATATATCTTTGCCCGGCCAGGCGTGGCTCAGCGGTTGAGCATCGACCTAGGATCCAGGCGATCGGGGTTCGATTCCCAGTCAGGACACATGCCCAGGTTGCGGGCTCGATTAATGACTCTCTCATCATTGATGTTTCTATCTCTCTCTCTCCCTCTCCTTTCCTCTCTCTGAAATCAATAAAGATATATTTAAAAAAAAAAAAGCCTACCTTAAAAAAGAAAAAAAAAATAAATAAAGATAGATATATATATATATATA